CTCCCGTGTGCTCTGATCAGATATGTCCCTCTCCTGGAGCTGCAGATTCAATGCTGTCCTTTGAAATAAATTCTTCTGGGGGAAGGGGCAGGTATCCACTTAGTAGTTGGGATTGGGGCCGACCCCCCAGACGGCCCATTTCCTTTTGCCCAAACTCTCAATCACCGGTTTTGTTTTGGTTTGTCATCTTGGTCTCTTTCAAATGGAAGGTCAACTTGACTGTGGATGAAATGTTTGAGATTTCCTTCCCACTCTGACCACAAATTGCTGAGAGAAATGTTTGCCTTATTTTCCTTCCCATTTCACTTTCTTTAAAGCTCAATGTTTCACCTGTCCACAAATGTACTAGCACTACAAACCCCAAATACTCATTTTGAAATCCTGTGAACCATCTGTTTTAATTAATGTCTAATCATAAATGGTGAAAATGTTAGATTTCTCCGGTGGGAAATACCTTGGTTCATGGCTTCATACAAGAAAGAAATTCACACTGAAACCTGATTTTTGATCCAAGTGGGTTTTTATAAAGGATGGAAGAAGTTAGCTAACTGAACATGAGAGAGAGGAGAGAGGAGAGGAGAGAACCACAGCATGGCCAAGTTGAAGCCAAGGAACAGCTGGAAAAACAGGGCAATGGTCTCCAGGTTCTGGGTTTTTGGGGCCTTCTGCTGGGAGATGTGGTCAATGGTACTGGTTGACCCCAGTGGCTCAATTAAACCTGTTTGGCCTCGGTTGGGCCAACCGCCTTCCTGGCTCAAGGGCCTGAATTTGGAGCATGCTCAGTAGACATCCCTGGCCCCTGTTCTGCTACCTAACAAAAATGTGTGTATAATAGAGTGCCCATTCCCAGTCCATAGTCAGGAACACTTCTTTGGCATCATGACTGAGATAGTTTATTGTGCCAGCCTGGCTGATAAACACAGGTGGGATTGACTGAGGGGCGGAGAGATGGATGGCTTGGTGAGCCTTGCCTTTCTTGTCTCTCGCTCTGTGATCATCGGACCAGTGTGC